CCAACCAGCCCCAAGGGTTATTGAATCAAATTACGGTTTCTTAGAGGCGACGATTTTCATTTCCAGGGATAAAAAGCGACATTATATGTCTCGTCTAGTCTTTGCCCAGACATACCTCGACAATGTTTGAAGTACAAGATTACATCGAAAGTTTCGTGTCTGGCGACACGGGCGCTGGGATGTTTAGGTCTAGTGACATCGTCAGGATGCAATTTCGACGATATGAAATTAGAGAGCGAAAAGAAAGTTTATTGCTGTACTAAATACGTACCTATCAATATAATGCATGAATAATAATAATGATAATATGTATAAACACACCCCTTAAAATATTATTTTACGCTCAAACACCAACACCAGCATCAAATTAACACACACTTGCACACACATACAGACACATAACCCCCCCCCCCCCCCACACACACACACACGTAATATAATATAAAGAAATATATAAATATATAATATATAAAATGAATTTTTATTATACATATATATAATATATATAATTACATTATATTATATTATATTATATTATATTATATTATATTATATTATATTATATTATATTATATTATATTATATTATATTATATTATATTATATTATATTATATTATATTATATTGTATTATATTATATTATATTATATTATATTATATTATATTATATTATATTATATTATATTATATTATATTATATTATATTATATTATATTATATTATATTATATTATATTATATTATATTATATTATATTATATTATATTATATTATATATATATATATATATATATATATATATATATATATATATATATACAGACACACATAAGTACGCCCGTGCCCTTTTTTCTCTCATATAAGTCCAACCCAACAGCAGCATTCACTACATACTCAGTACTCTTGTCGGCCCCAATTATCAGGCTGATGGCTTTTCTTCACATTGGCAAACTTCACATCCTCTTGGTTAAATTTATGTTTTCCTTCAGTTATAGTTAGGTTTTTCGGAGCTCGCAACTGCATAATAAGGTTTTATGAGCACCGAGGGGTGGATGTCAACAGAGAAGTCCAAACGGGGAATCAGGCTTACTCTGCTCTCCTCTCTAGCCTCAACAGCACAAAATATGCTTGGACTATCAAGGCACCCCGGAAATAGCAGTTCGTAAGAGAGTGACAAACGTACAAATAAAATAGAGGGAAAAAACCAATAGTAAGCATGAGGAAAGAAACAGCAGCAGTTCTCTCTGTGTTGTTCTAGCACAGTGTGAGCATGACATTGATAATTCAGACAGTTTACAATTCCACTGTGCATAGAAACATGTTAATATCCCCCACGCCCCTTTGAGAATGGCCTAAAGACACGTCAATAGACAGACAGAGAGAGAGAGAGAGAGAGACGAGAAATAGGGGGGGGGGAGTAGGGCAGTTAAATTTAAGTAATCCAAATTCTGTTAAAATGCGTGAAAAGATGACCGAGTTATAGTCCTTTAAAATTCGTAATCATCAAAGTATCATTTCATTGCCTGGATGATATTAGTTATAATGTGTTCTAAACTTCAGGTTGACAAAGATAAGACGCCAACCCATTGTCCGAAAAAAATTCGCGTTTTTGGAATGGCTTCACTACGCTTCGAATCTTAGCGAATATCGAAATAATCGCGAACGTTGAATTCGAATGAGCCCATCTCCACTGTCAGCCGTTTTTTCTGGCACATACTTTCTCTCAAGCATGGGAAAGCCTATCAAATTGTTTTGTTTGTTTGTTTTGGTAAAGTGTTTTACGGCGCTCGCAACTGCATGAGGTCATATGAGCGCGCGGGACACACCTAATATTTTCAGTTGGTAGGAAATTTTGAATTTTGCTCGGGTGGCGGCCGTAGCCTACTCTTATCGATTTTAGACCACCAAGGGATCTTTAACGTGCGCAACTTGCACACGGGCCCTCCGAGATTTTTCGCCCTTGTCCGAGAAGGCTAGGTGTAGATCTTTCCTACCAGAAGATCAGGGGTGTGGCTGAAAGACAGCAGTAAGAAGAAGCGAAGGAGTAGCAGTAGAAAGACTGCAGAAAGAATCAGGAGGCCAGAGGAGGGGGCAAAGGAGGTGTGGGGGTGGGGGCAGAAGGAGGAGACGAAAGCAGACGACAGAACATTGCTAGAGAGCAGGAAACGTGAAAGGAGACCAATTTAGAGAAGCCTGTCTAAGTTGTGGGTCGGGTTAAACGATTCCTAATAAATATCTCTTGGGCAAAAGCAGGGGGACAAACTGAATGAAATCGGTAGATATACCGTAGCTTTAAAAAACGTGAAGCTAAAACTGTCACTATTTACTAAAGAATAATGTGTCTTTCAAGGGTATTTCATGAGTTAGATAAATACTATCAGATGTATTGCTTCCAGCTGGGAGGGTAACTATTAATTTTGGTTTTTAAAACGGACAGTTCTTTTCTTATTATTATTCACCACCTCACCACTGGACACATTCTGTAATCTTTAATCATTGAG